CTGCGGCTCACTCATCGCATCTGCGACCACTGACTCCCAGGTCTAAAGGCGCACCTGCGATCCCAGCCTCGCTTCAGCAGGGCCGCACCTGCAGACTCCCCACCGCAGGTGCGAAAACACCAGAAACCAGCATGCCGAAAATCCTTCTAAGTCCAAGCTTTCACCCGTTAAGCACCCGAAACTCACCAGAGGCCCCTGGGACCTCAACCAAACATACCAACCAATCCTAAAACACCATACAAACTTAGTCGAGCCCTTAAACCACATCAAACATTGCTAAAATCACAAATCATCCTCCGATTCAAACTTAAAGAAGTTGAAGCTTCCAAATTTGACAACCGATGCTGAAACCAACCAAACCTCGTCCGATTGACCCCAAATTTTTCACACAAGTCATATTCAACATTACGGACCTACTCCAACTTCCGGAATCGGAATCCGACCCAGATATAAAAATTTCCACTATCGATCCAAATCTCCAAAAATTCGACTTTTGCCATTTCAAGCCTAAATAAGCTACAGACCTCCAAAACATAATCCGGACTAGGGCTGGCAAGTGGGCCGGTCCCGGGCCTAAATGGGCCAAGTGGGCCGATCCCAAATTAAACGGGCCAAACGGGCCCGGGCCTAAACGAGCTTTTTGTAGGGACCGGCCCGGGATCGGGACCAGGACCGTTTGGTCTCGGGCTAAGCGGTCCAGGCCCGCGGGCTTAGCGGGCTAAGTGGGCCCAATATATTTTTTAAAAAAAATAAATTAAATAGATATTAGAGACAAAAGGATGTTAAAAAAAATATCTAAGACAATGCTTTATAAATTTTATTATAGAATTGTGACCTAAATTTTAATATTCAATATTTAATATCGAATATATATAGTATATATATATAAAAGCTATATTCGATAAGCTATATATACATCTTATATACTATCTATAAGATGTATATATTGTATATATAGTATACTATACTATATATAGTTAAAATGGTATCAAAAAAATAATAATCTATGAACAGTAAAAAATGGGTCCGGTGGGTCCCTGTTTCAGTGTTTCTACTGTTGGAACAGTGTATCTACTGTTTATGAACAATGTATGAACAGTGTATCTACTGTTTGAGTGGGGTCCGGCGGCTTCACTGTGCTCTGGGTCCGGCGACTTCACTGTTCTTGTGGGGTCCAGCTGTTTCACTGTGCTGGTCTCTTTTCTGCTTCTTTCATTTTAAGGATGAATTCTTCCGCATTATGCAAATCTTCATCAGAAAGTATTTTTTCTGATTCAAAGTGTTGAGAATCTTCAGCGATATCATCGTTGCTGGTTTCACTCTGCATAGAAGTGTCTGATTTCTCATATTGATTAATGGAATGAAGTAAGTTTCTTTTGACTTCTTCCAGGTAGTTGTTGATCATTTATGCTTTATCTCCTTCTTGAAAGGAAATTCTTCTGGCAATATGCCTCACTGAGCTGTTATCAATTACCTCTTTCTGAGGTTGACTGGAATATTCTTGGATTTTTATTTCAATTGAATCCAAGAGTTCTTGACCATATAAAGTCTTTGTTTTGGGATCCTTCTTCATTAACTTGTCCAAAAAGTTGTTGTAAAAAGTCCTGTATAAGCATGGGACTTGTTCTTCAGTGAATCCGACTTTTGGATTCCATTTGTGTATCCAGGGAATAGAGAATTCGAGAAAGAAATAAATCTGGTTAATTTTATCGGGGTAACATATATGATCTGAGTGATATAAGTTGTTTATAAACAGGGAAATTTTTATCCATTCTTTGTATAACCTGAGAAATGGATCTGGTAAAATTTTTATTGTCGGACCGTGGTATGACCACCAGTTCAGAAACCAATTAGGAACAGCCTCTGCAAATATCTTTGCACATACTTTAATAAACCAAGTATGTTTGTGTCGATCATTATTGTAGTATAACACTTTATCAAATGCCTGGATATAATCCCAATAGGTAAAATTCATTCTAGACTTGTTAAGGCTTATCTGCCTTTCTTTCATTGTGGATATACCCCAGTCTTCAACAGATATAATCTGTTTAATTATAATTTTCGAGAAGTTATAAACGTTCTCGTCTGTGCTATACCAAGAAAAGTGCTGAAAATCTGCACTGCCAGTACTGGTTAGTATTGTCTCATAATAGGAACGGGTTTTGTATGACTCACCTGGATAATATAACCCATTTATTAAATACCTTTGGAATATCTTCCACGACTCTTCTTTTCTCTAAATGTCAGAGTTTTCTAAAAGAAATATCATTTCCTTTTTTGACACTTTCTCATATGACTTGATATCATCATTGTCATCTTTTGTGATGGAAGCAAAAGTATCACTTTGCTTGGCTGAAATATCTTTCTGTTTTTGAGCAGTCAAATAGGCCTGCAAATGTGCGTATAATGGACTATCTTCTGGAATATCTTCCAGATGGACAGATGGTCTGATCGATGATTCTTCTCTGAGAGATATCCTCTCATTGGTTAAACTCTTTCTTCCCATTTGTATAACTGGGGAGTTTAATGTGGATCCGTATGACGATCTTGAAGGTGATGATCTTCCTCCGGACTATGGGGATAATCTTCCCCAACCTCTACCTCTTCCTCTACCCCAGGGGGGTTCCATCATGTAAATATTCACTGGATAAGAAATCTGGCAGAGAATTATCAATTCCCTTTTTATATTGTATTTCAAAATCAAAAGGGGCTAATTGAGCCTGCCATCTTGCAAATATCATTTTTTCTTTCTGGATACGGGATATGTCACACTTTATGGGTATATGGGAACCATTGAATGATTGAGTTGTTATTGCAGAAGATGTGGTGCGCACGGTATATGGATTTTCTCGGTTGCGTTAAGGCGGGATTATTTCTTTGGGTATTTTCGCGCTAATGAGGCACATGTCGTTTAGCCAATTTGGGTGGTGCAGTCGAGATTTGAGAAGAGTAGATGACTCTCGAGAAGTTTCTAATAGATTCAAGATTTATATATGGCAATTGGGAAATTTTCAGGATTTGTATACGGCTAGAATCTGAGATTTAAGTTGGATGGTGTCGAGACTTGTGGCATTCCTATATCATTATGGATTCTACATTTCAGCATCACGAAGTTGAAGGAAATTGTTTTGTATTCATATGTCTCTTCAGAGTGGGTGTCTCGTTTGGGGTACTTTTGGGGTGCTTACGAGGGAATTCAGCGGCTAATGGGCCTTAAGGCAGTGTGGTTCTATGCTAGAGTTCGTGGGGTGAGTATTGGTTAAGGATCATGGTGTTCTAGCAAGGAGAAGTATCAATTTGAAAA